CGTCCCAAGGACGAAATGTAACCAAATCAATCATGTTTATCGTTGCCTTGCATTTGCAACATTTTTTTCTTTTCTTTCTTTTTGTTGTTATCTGTAAGAAGTAATCACTTAACGTAAATCTAGAAATAATGAGAACCTTCTCTGATGTTATGGGACTAGAAAGCAGTAAAAGCCTGTCCAGGCAAGGGTTGGGGCGCTCTCCCCTTGAGGGAAAAAGTGGCCGTGCCGTCCCTTTTTCTCCACAGGACTCGGTTGTCCGTGTGAATTTGTGTACCGCATCCACGACACACAGACTCCGGCAGGCCGGGGCCTGCATCACCTGAGCACTTGGACCGACAGCCCGCGGGGCACAACCCGGCTAAAAACAGGCAGCCCCGCAGCACACACACCCTCCTGCGCAGCCCGGGACAAAGCGTGACACAGGGCCGTGCAGGGGGTGAACTCGGAGGGGCAGGAAGGAGAGCGAGGACAAGGCGGCAGGTCAGGGGTGGAGGGGGAGCTGTGCCGGGGAATGCGGAGCACACCTGCGGGCCGGTCGGCGGTGAGGTGGTGTGGGCATGTGGGCCAGGGGCATGTCATAGAGGGTCTTCAGTGACAGATCAAGACCCCTCCAGCATTCACCACCTTTCCGACTCTACAAACTCTGGTTAATCATCTCTACATCCGCCTGCCCAGCCTTCCACCCACCCATCCATCCGTCCATCCATCCATCCTCCCACCTGTTCATCCATCCATCCTTCCATCCATCTATTGGTCTATTTTTTTCCTATCGATCTATCCATCTCTTCACCCACCCCATCCAGTCTCCCATGTACTCATTCAGCCATAAAGCCCTTGCCCACATAGCCAGGGACTGCTCCTGGTCCCCATTCACCCACACGCGCCCCCTACAGACAGTCACCAAGAAAACACTTAACCAGTCCTCTGACCGCCTGCTATGTAGAACCAGCACGCCGGTGTGGGCCAAGTCCCATCACTAACCAGCGGGCTGACCAAACTTCCCAAGCCTCAGTTTCTTCATCTAGAAAATGGCTATGTGTGTACTCAAAGGGCTGTTGTGGTCACTGAATGACAAAGCTCCTGCCAATGGTAGCTATTATATCACATTGCTGCTATTATTGTTTATTATTATTATTATTATTATTATTATATTATTATTATATTATTACTATTGCAAGATGCTAAGGGAGGAGTCCAGAAATGAAGCTCTGAGGGCCCCAGCTCGTCTGCTCAGATGTTGACTCCGGCAGGTGATGTGGAGAGCCAGTTAAACCTGTAGGCGTCAGTTGGGGTGTGGTAAAGTTGTTTTGGGGGGCGGGCAGAGCAGCAAATGTAGCCTAAAGGAAAAGAATTAGTGGAGTTAAGGCAGGCAGCTGTCAGGAGAGTCGCCGCCTCAGAGCCAGAGCCGTGGCTGGCCAGGCACCTGACCCCTGCTCCACCCCAGGGAGCCCAGGGCCTGGAGGTCGGGAAGGTGGGCAGGGCTCGGGTTCACCTTCATCCACCTGGTCCCCTGGTGCAGGGGCCTACTTTTTCAGAGAACTTGGGACTCTACTGGCCAAAGGTTCAAACCCCAGCCCTCATCACTGAGGTGCCTAAGTCACTTCATCTATATAAAGAGGCTAAACAGTGAGAATTAAGAGAATCTATGTGTGCCCTGGCTGGTGTGGCTCAGTGGACTGAGCACCGCCCTGCGAACCAAAGGGCCGCCAGTTCAATTCCCAGTCAGGGTACATGCCTGGGTTGCAGGTCAGGTCCCCAGTAGGGGGCGTGTGAGAGGCAACCACACATTGATGTTTCTCTCCCTCTCTTTCTCCCACCCTCTCCTCTTCAAAAATTTTAAAAAATATCTTTAAAAAGAGAGAGAGTCTATTCCTGCAAGGCACCGTGCGCCAGGAGATGAATCTAAGACATCCCTAAAGGAGGTGAGGGCTCCTGAGCATAAGGATAAGAACTGCTCTCTCTCCTCAGTCCCCCAGACTCCAGAAGCGCAGAAATGTCCCAGCCTCCCCAGTGCCCTGCAGCCTGAGAGTGCAGACAGCTGTGGGGGCAACTTTGCCCACAACCTCCCACCCCCCGTCCACCACGGATGAAAGTAAACACTACCAAGACATGATCTGCTTGGGGAGGAAAGGTGGCCAGTCCCTCAGACGGGAAGGGCCCAGAGCCCCCTGCTCAATGGGCTTTTACTGGGTTTGTTTGCACAAGAATACGGGTAAGAATCAAACAGTAGATATCAGTCAAAGAACTGTGAGGGCTTACTCTCAGTCAGGGTCAGATAACTAATGAGCCATAAAACTTTGAGGAACAAACTTCTTGCTTGGACCCTTATCATTTAAATGAGAGCCTTCTAAACAAAGCAGGTTTCACAGGATTTTACATATTCTTTCTTAGGCCTGACTTACCCTGGATACCCGCCCTTTCCGGCACAGGGCTGCACCACCTTCCTCATCATAGGTTTTCAGGCTTACATGGATTAGAGCCAGGCAGCATTTCTCTCAGACTGAAATGGGGACTCGGGCTATGTCACAATAGCAAGGGGGACGAGGGTCCATCGCTCCCTCTTTGTCACAGCCCGGAGTCCTTCCACGATGGCCTCCCAAGTGATCATATCTGGCCTAGGTTGCCCCACTCTGAGGGGTCATACCCACCATGGACATCAACCATGCTTTGGGGGCAGGGGAAGAAGCAGAAGCAGCGCTTGCTGCCAGAGACAACCTTTGTCTCCTGTGGCCCGAATTCCGGAGGTCGCTCACTTAGCCATGGGGGGCAGTTACAATTCCTGAAGCCAGGCAGGGCGGTTCCCAGCAGACAGCCCCGGGTCACCAGAGGCACCCATCAACTACGACTGCGTAACAAATCACTACAAATTTAGCAACTTAACACAAAGCTCTTATCTTACGGTCCTGGAGGTCAGAAGTCCACGTGGGTGTGTCTGGGTCCTCAGCTCCAGGTCTCACTCTGGAGGCCACAGGATTGAACTGTTTCCAAGCTTATTCAGGTTGCTGGTGGAATTCAGTTGCACACAGTTGTGGGACCGAGGTCTCCGTGTCCTGGCCGGCTGTTGACCAAGGTTGCTCTCAGAGTCTGGGGTCACCTGTGTGCCTTGGCTCATGGCCCTGTCAAAGCCGGGTGGCGTTCTTCTCACGGTCCAAAGCTCTCTGACTTCCCTTCCACCTCATCTCACTCTTCTCCCTTCCTCTTCTGCCTTGAAGGAGTCCCCCGCCCCTGGGTGACTGATTGCACCAGGCCCCTCAGATACTCCAGGTAATTTATTACGGGGAGCTGATTCAAAGCTTTAATCCCATCTGCAAAATCCCTTCCCAGCAGGGTCTTGTTCAGGCCGCCACTCCTCAGGCCGCCAGAATTGGCAGCAGGTTCGGTGGCCCTCACACACCTGAAGGACAGGACACCTGCAGAATGGTGCACCCTTATCCCAAGGCCGGTGACTTAACTTCCCAAACAGCAACCACGCAGGGTCTTTCCTGAGACATTGGGCTCCAAGGGCACCCAAGGCAGGTCCCACAGGCTCTGCCCAGCAAAAGGGCAGATGACCGACTGCGGTAGGTCAACCAGGGTTCAGACTCCCACGAACACCGACTGGAGTTACCATCAACCTGTGGAGCCTCAGTTTCCCCACCTGAGCTCAACCGCATGCAGCCTTGCAGGGTGATATAAGTGAAGGGCTGTCCTCTCTGGGAGCTGACCCAAAGCCAGTGGGTCTGAATCTCCCACCTTCCCACAAAGCCACGGCTGGCTGGGCACGCTTCCTTCATCTGAAATGTTCCTGTTGTATGTGTGTGTGTTATCTCACATCCGGCATCTTATAGAGCACACTGAAGCCAAAAAAGTCGGCCTTCCTGCTGCCCGTCACTACCAGAACCAATAAGCAGGGACAAGGACTGAATCTTTATGGGTGCTTTGTTCAGCGGTGGTCTGGGAAGACAGCAGGTTTTGTAGTCTAAAAATTGTCTTTGGAATAAAGGTTAATCAGGTCACAGTTGCAGTCTGGAGATTTTCCTTTAAAAAAAAAAGATTTTATTTTTTTATTTTTAGGGAAAGGAGAAGGGAGGGAGAGAAAGATAAATGTGTGGTTGCCTCTTGTGTGTCCCTCACTGGGGACCTGGTCTGCAATCCGGGCATGTGCCCTGACTGGGAATCAAACCAGCGATCCTTTGGTTCACAGGCTGGGCCTCCAGCCACTGAGCCACACCAGCCAGGGCTTCGTACTATTTCTTCATCTGCTTCACCAACCACCCCCATCCGTCAGTCACAGACTCCCTGAGGCACAAAGATTGAATGGCTTCTCTGCCACAGCAGGTCACGAATTCCAGCTCCTGGAATACTAGCTTTCCACAGGCATTGATCACTTAAGCCCCTCGACTATAACTACAGCTAAAACCTTTAATGCTTGAATCCCCCTATCAATATGCCTCCTTTCCCCAGAATGCAAAATAGAGAAAATGACCCTACAGCTGCTAACAGGACTTTCTCAGCATTAAGACTAAGATACTTGTTTGGTATGTTTTTTTTTTTTTGTAGGGGGGACGAAACTCATAAAGACAGCTGTCACCCCTACCCTAGGGACATCCTTCTACCCTGCCACGTGGTTAGTGAGCACCTGAGTTGGGGGCTCTGGGAGTGGCAGACGGGCGGCGAGATGGAGACGCCCACTCTCACTACCCCACCCCCGCGGTCAGACCAGCCAGACCGCATGTCGGACCTGCGGACGGGCGGCCCAGCGCTCCCTCCTTGCAGAGAAAGGCTGTGACGGGGCTCCGGGGGGACGGTGGGCTTTGAGAGGGGCGAGGAAGGAGGAAGCAGAGACCTGGAGAGTGGGAGGGTCAGCCCCAGTGTACTGAGAAGCTCCGCCCCATCCCAGCCCCGCCTCCAAGCCACAGCCCCGCCCCACTCAGGCCCCGCCCAGACATGGCCCCTCCCCGCGCTCCAGCCCCGCCCCCAGGCCCCAGCCCCGCCCCCAGGCCCCAGCCCCGCCCAGCCGAGCTAGGCTCAGGAGCTCCGCACCCGCCACCTCTGCTCTCCCGGAGCAGAGTCCACCGCTGACTTCGCCGCGATGTGGGCCGCGCTGCCGCTGCTCTGCGCAGGAGCCTGGCTGCTGGGACCCCTGGCACGTGGCGTTGCAAGCCGGTCCTTGGACCCCGAAGGTACGTGGGCGGCAGTTTCGGGGTCCGGCATCCGAACTCCAGACTCGGAGAACTTAGCGGGAGCGCACCGCGCCGGGAGGGACAGCGGCCCAGGGCTTTGCAGTTGGAACCCGGAGGGGTGCGTTGCGCGACGAAAGGGGGCTTGAAAGAGGGGGTGTGCACGACCGGAGGACCGGGGTGTCCCGGACCCTCTGCTCAGTTGGATGCAGAGGGCAGGGTCCCAAAGGAGCGCACAGCGGCCCTGTGGCCTCCCCGCACCCGAGGACACGCAGCGCTTGGATCTGAGCCGGCGGGACGAGCGTGCACGGCCTTCCCAGCCTCTCCCCGCAGCTTTCCGGGACCTGCAGACTGGGATCCCCAGATACGCCCGTGCCCCTCACAGAATGGGCGGGACAGCAGTCTGGAGCCGCCTAGAGTAGCAGCACCTTCAGCCCCTGAACACAGGGGCCTTTGTTCGGAGGGCTCCAGGCCAGACCCGCGCTCTTCCTCCTTCCCCACCGCTGCCCGCCACCCACCGGCCCTGAGCTCACCAGACCCCCTGGCCCCTCATACTAGGGACAGGAAAAAACAGCCTGGTGTGGGGGACTGAGGCTTCATCTCGTCTGCTCTGAAGCTTGTCTTCTTCCAACCCCCACTTGTACAAGAGAGACCCCCGTCTTGCAAACCTGGAGGGCGCACAGGCCCAGGTCAGCCCCACCCTGAGTGACCCAGCTGCCCCCGGCGAGGGCTCTGACTCACCCCGGAGCTGAGACCTGCACCTGGCCGGGTGGCAGGGCCCTCCTCACTCCAGGGCAGGGCTGGGCAAACTTTCTCTAAAAGGCCAGACAGTAAATATCCTGAGATTTGTGGACCACACGGTCTCCGTAGCAACCACTTAACTCTGCTGGGTACAGGGAGAGCAGCTGTAGACCGAATGCAAAAGGACCAGTGTGGCGCTGTTCCCATGAACCACGATTTCTGAGAAGTGACATTTGAATTCAAGTGAGTAGCACGTACCGTACTCGGTGATTTTTTTCCCAACAGTTCAAAGCTAGAAAAGGCCATCCTTAGCTTGTGGACCGGACAAAATCAGGCTAGCAGCCCGTTTGGTGAGCCCCATTGTAGGTCCTTCCCAGGCAGCGTCCCAGACGGGGCTCACGGCACAAGAGGGTACTTCCTCCTGAGGTCACAGCAGGCGGAAATGGATGTAGCCCAGGTTGGGTCCCCGCCGGGTGCATCCCTAGCTGCTTCTTCCACGGACCTCCTGTCGTCGAGTATTTTCACCATTGTATGTTGCTGTTGTTACCTCTCCGGCCCGTAAACACCAGTCAGTTGTCCGCAGTTCCATCTGCTTCCAACCCCGAGTGCCCCACAGGGCAGGTGCTGGGAGAACGTTCATTTCCCCCCAGGTTTCTGGAACAGGCCTGTGACCCACAGGGAGAGATCTAAATTCTGTACAGTGTGATCTTCAAACTGGGGAGGGTGTGCATCCCCAGGGAACACAAAGAAATTCCGGGGGACTCCGGCACGGACGGGGAATCAGTTTTCAGGGGGCCGTTTTTTTCATCCTAAATCTGAGCCCTGTGACCGGAGGCAGCCAACGCAGAGGCTTGTGGTGACACAGCCTTCAAGGCCGTCGATTCTTCACAGAAAGGCCATGCTGGGTGTCTGTCAGCTGATGGGGTCTCAGAAACTGTGGAGTGATCTGGCAGCATGTGATTCGGGCGTGGTGGTGAGGAGTGCAAGGAACTGAGTGGCATCGCTTTAAAACTGGCCTTCCTGCCCTGGCCGGGTGGCTCAGCGGGTCAGAGCCTTGTCCCAGAACACCAAGGTAGCGAGTGGGTTTGATCTCGGGTCAGGCGGGGCACGTACAAGAAGCAACCAGCAAATAAGTGAGACAACAAGTCGACATTTCTCTCCCTCCCTCTCCATTCTTCTCCCTCTCTAAAATCAATATTTAAAAGGAATTAAAAAATGAACTTTTGTGGTCCCAGAATAAATGATATTTTTATTGCTTATTGTTGAGTAAGCATAAGCTTTTTTTGAGCAGTATTTCTCAGCCCTTTGACCTATAAAAGAACAGAGATCATAACTCATGCTGACCCATTATAAAAATACATCATATTCACCCATTAAGATAAAAATTCATGTGGGAGGGTGGTTAGTAAAGTCCTGTGTATCAAATTAAGAGATGCATTTTTTAATACAAGTTTACTCTCTCTGCTTAAGAATTGCTTCTCATACTGGATAACATATTTGAAATGTTTTAACCAATCGGGTGTGAATGATAATGATGATCATTCCTCAATCCAGAAAAAAAATGTTTATAATATTCGGAGAGGTCTGGGTCACAGGGATTGAAAAGAATGAATACTTTCTGTTTTTGTCTCACAAAACGACGTTTGGGCAATCAAGTATGAACAAGCGAGGTGCAGGCAGAGATGTGGGCGGTTCAGGGGAAATAGAAACTATGTAACATATTCAACTCTTCTGGAAGAGGTGGTTCATGTTGATGACTGTGCTCATCAAACCATGGTGCGTGGATTCTGTTACCGGACGGGGGCCTGGCCCTGAGTGGGGCTGCCTGAGGCCAACGGGAGTCCAGGGGACGATGGGTGCATGTTGATTCAAGCCGGGGACAGTGAAACTAGGAAGGGCTTAGCATAGAAGCAACGGGAGAGCCTAAGAAAGGAGAGGGTGTACCCGAGTTTTTATCTTCTTTCTTTTCTTGTAGATGGGCAGGGATCTCGGGAGGGCTCAGCAGAATATTCATCAGTTCTCCCTGGCAGGGTCCCAGTCTCCTCTGAGGGGTCCATGCCAGGGCGGGGGTCTCTAGTCCCCTGCAGTTGGTTCGGGCATCACCCACCTGGCTCTGCTGCTTTTCTGGGGCTGGGGCACCACCAGGGCCTGGGTGTCATCTCCTGAGGAGAAGGGGCTGTCGTTTCCCCAGTTCCGCCATCCTGGTGACCAGCGGCATGAACTGGGCAGCCAACTGCTTGTCCATGGTGCTCGGTGCTCTGAGGTGACTTGAACATGAACCGGGGGAGCAAAGCCAGGGTCCTCAAACAAGTGGCCAGGCAGTCGTTGCAAATACAGGTTTATTGGGAGAGAGTCACACCCATCTGCTGGCCCAGTACAAGGGCAGAGAGGCTGTGACCGAGACGGTGGGGACTGTGAAGGCTAAGATAGTTACTCTCTGCACTTTTAATGAAAAAACTGCCGACTGTATGTGGACCGTTTAGTTAACTTCTCATTGATACATAGTACCATGCAGAAAAGCACGCGAATCCTCAAACACACATTGCAATGAATCTCCACAATCTAACAGTAGTGTCAGCAGTGCCTCGGAAGCCCCCTAGGAGGCGCTTTCCGGGCTGTCGCCCCCCGCAGGTTAAGGAGCTTTTCACAGCCGGTTTGGACACCACAGCCATCAGAGTGTGTGTTCCTTCTGGTGTGGTGGCCATTCTGGTGTTGACACCATTCTTGGGGCTGTATGTTTAACCCAGTTTCCTGAAATGCAAATCAGTTCTCAAGTGCCTCTCTGGGCAAGGTGCCAGCGCCTAACTTTTTTTTTTTTTCTTTCTTTCTGCAGAGACGTTTCGGTTTAAGTCATGGATGGAGCAGGTCAGTGCCCCGACTTCTTCTTTCTGAAGCTCTTCATCCCTCTCCCTCTCAGCTTCCTGGCCGCTGTGCCAGATTCGAGACAATGAGGCGGGGCTTTCCAACCACGCCCTCCCGGGTCTTTCCCAGCCCGGGAAAGGTTCGCAGACACTTTCCAGAGGTGCCGGTACCGGAGGGGATCTCCAGCCCCAGGGTTCAGTCCCCGTTTTGTTTTTATGTAAATATTTTGATTAATTTCTTTTCAGAGAGAGGGGAAGGAAGAGAGAAGGAGAGGGAGAGGAACATCCATGGGTGGTTGCCTCTTGCATGCCCCCTACTGGGGACCCGGCCCACAACCCAGGCATGTGCCCTGACTGGGAATCGATCCTGCAACCCTTTGGTTCACAGGCTGGTGCTCAGTCCATTCAGCCACACAAGCCGGGGCTCAGTCCTTTTTTTGTATTTAAATCACGCTGCATGCTGGCTGCTCTGTCAGTCAGAGAACACTATTGCATGTGCTTTTGGAAAATGGTGAGTTTGGCCATAAACTTGGCCCAATACCAACTATGTATGGTGTCCAGGGGTGACCTGACCTTGGCAGGTCTCTTCACTGGACCTCAGGGGCTATTGGTGGAGCAGGGGCTCCGTTCCAGTCACAAGTCCCTGAACGCAGGGCGTTCACTTTATAATTTCCTGAGCCCCAGGACAATGTCACACACTCACTGCCACAGATTTGGCCCAAGAATCATTGGCAGCAAAAAGGCTCCATCCGCCCTGGCTGGTGTGGCTCAGTGGATTGAGCAGCAGCCTGTGAACCAAAGGGTCTCCAGTTCGATTCCCAATCAGGGCACAGGCCTGGGTTGCAGGCCAGGTCCCCAGTATAGGTATTGCCCCATGTGAGAGGCAACCACACATTGATGTTTCTCTCCCTCTCTTTCTCCCTGCCTTCCCCTTTCTCTAAAAATAAATAAGTAAAACTTTTTTGTTTTTTAAAAAAGGCTTCATCTGTCCTGGTAGAGGACTGCGTGAAGGTCCCAGGACCTCAGGCTGCTGTTTTCTTTTAGCACCAAAAGACGTACAGCACAGAGGAGTACCCGTACCGGCTGCAGACCTTTACCAGAAACCAGAGGAAGATAAAAGAACACAACGTCAGGAACCACACGTTTAAAAGTACCTTAGGGATGCCTCTGCTGAGGGCTTCTAACTCCCTGGGAGGAGGGCACAGCTCGTTGCTGCAGAGAAATCCCTGGGGCGGAGGGTGGAGGGGCTGGCTCAGACCCCCTCTGCTTTTACCCTCCCTGAGACCCAAGGGGTCGCAGACTTAGGACCATGCTGGGGCTGCGGCCCAGAGGCCGAGTCCTCTGCAGAGCAGCCTCCAGGGACATCCCCTTTCCCTCTGGGGCAGTGTCAGCTATGCCGGGGACACAGGCCACAGGCGCCAGCTGCAGGGAGGCCTGGGTCGGATCTTGTTTCTGCTGAGTACTAGCTGTGTGACCTGGCTGGGGTCACGGTCCCTGAAAAGTGACTCAGCTAGGAAGTGGGGATGACACTGAGTGAGGTGGCAGGTACGCAGGCGCCTGGCTCGAGCACAGTACTTCTGTCCCTGGGCATCCAAAGACTCCCCTTCAGAGACTCCCCGGTGGGGCCTCTGAAGCCGTGAGTGCCCGGCCCGACCCCAGACCCACAGCCTCTGGGCAGCAGCCGGCAATACCAGCTCTGTCCAGAAAATATATCTAGCCAGGTCCTCCACGTGCAAAGACGGCGCAGCAAAGCTGTAGCAAGATCAAGGTCATGCTGACCCTGTTTTTTGTTTGGGAAGCTGTCGTCCATCAGAGGGAGTACGCCTCTCCAGGCCAAACAATTAACAAGGAGTATCTTTTCCCATAAAAGTCTCTTTCTCGTAGTACGTGGCAGGATACTCTTTTGACAGACCCCAGATGCCCTGCCGACAAGCTCCCCCCGGGGACCCTGAGGCCCAGCCAAGGGCCGACCTCGGGGACAGGATTGCGTGACATTTAGAAATGTGAAGCCGCCGAGCTGTGCTGGCCTGAGAGGGGCGCAAGCAAACGAGGGGGCTTCACGCTTTTCTGTCTCTTTAGTAGTAACTTACAGAGAAGCTCTTTCCTTGTTTTGTTTTCACTTGTTTTTCTCTTTCCTCCTTTTTTTCAGTGGGAATAAACCCCTTCTCAGATATGACGTTTGCTGAGTTTAAACGCAGGTTTCTCTGGTCCGAGCCCCAGGTGGGTGTCACTGGACCTTGGGAACAAGCCCACGGGCTCCCCAAGGCAGGTTCATACCAGATGCAGCCACCCCTGGGGCCCTAGGCTCTCGGGGGCGAAAGGTCAGCGCCCCTCAGGGCTCGCAGCCTCAGCAGCACAGATGCTGAACTCAGGGTTGCCAGGCAACACACAGATGCCCCGTGAAAATCAAACTTCAGATCAACAACAAAATATTTTAGCATCCACACTGCGTGGGACAGACCTACATCACTCTACAGCCTCCTTCACCCAGCACCTGCACCTCCGACCAAACTGCCGAGCCCAGCCCGCACTAACACCCCGCGGTCCCCGCTCTCCTGGAGGAGAGCCTGGTGCATTGCGAGCCAACACCTGAGGCAGGGGCAGGGTGGTTCCGACAGCTGCCGCCTTTTTCTCATCCTCTCTTAGCAACTCCATTTTCATTACAAACCTGTCTGTTTAAGGGGGGAAAAAGTGGTTTTCTTTGCCACCAAAAATATATATATATATATCCTATCTGTTGTTCCAGAACTGCTCGGCCACCAAAGGTAACTACCTTCGGGGTACCGGTCCCTACCCCACGTCCGTGGACTGGCGGAAGAAAGGGCGCTTTGTCTCACCAGTGAAAAACCAGGTACGCCGACAGCCCCATGCTCTCCCCGAAAGCACCCATGCTCTCCTGCAGCTTCCCAGAAGGAAAACGTCAAAAGGACCCCAAACGTGGGCAGGCAAATCACAAACAACTTTACTTTTCCTCATCTCTCCAGTGGCCTTCAGAAAGGCCGGAGGTCCTATCTCATTGGGCTGAAGTGCCCCCTACCCCACTGCAGAATCCCCACTGGTCCCAGGTCTCTCCTGGGACCCCAAAAGCCCCCCCAAACACCGCAGATATTGGACCCGAGGGCTCCATTCTCCTTGTCAGCTTCCCTCTGGGTGGTTGCAGTTGGTCCATCAGCAGAATGGCACCCAGCAAGCACCTCAGCCACCCTCTGGCCCAACTGGTGTTCGCCCTCAGTGGGGAAGGGCGCCCCCTGCAGGGCGCCGTGCCTTCCTGCTCGCGGAGCCGCGGACCTGCTGTTTGCAGGAGGGTCGGACCCCACCTGCTGCTGTCCCCAGTGGCGACTGCAGTCGGTCCCCTAGAAGTGACACTGCGGTGGCTTCTTCAGAGCCGTGCCTACCTCTCAACCCCCGGAAATCCAGGCTTGCCTGGGCGCATAACAAGCTTGCCTGGGCGCATAACACCCTCCCAGGAGCAAACGAGCACCCCCCCCCCCCGCCTCAACCCCCTCGGAGAACCCACCGCAGTTCAAAGCAACAAGGACTTGGTGTCGGTCGGTCGGTCGGGGCCTGACCCGCTCACCATTTGGGTTGGTGGCTTGCTCTTGGCCTGATGTAAGCAGGTGACACAGGCCACTGTCTCTGACGGAGTCTGAGCTCCAAGTCCAGAGCTTGCGGTGAGACCTTGCCCTGTCCCTTTCGGGGTGGGGATGGGGGGCCCTGTGACCGGTGCCCCTCTTTGTTGAGGGGAGACGAGGATGGGGGCCCACGTGCAGACAAGCCGTCAGGACAGAACCGGGCAATGCCATGCGTGGCAGGAAGGGACTGCACCCAGAGGGCAGGCAGAAATGCAGGTGCCCGTGGGGCAACGGCAGGGTCTTATCGCCCTTCTCACAGTCCCGTGAGGCAAGCTCTGTCCTTCCGTCCCACACATGATGAAACAGGGTGAGAGGGGGGACGTGCCCTTGGGGGGCCCACGGTGGGGGTTGGCAGGCGGGTCCCTGGAAGCCAGAACGTGAAGGCTGAGCAGCCGCAGAAGTTGTTGGGATGGACGATGGGGCAGGATGGGTGGAGCCAGGCGCCTAGGTGTCCCGTGGGGAGGCCTGAGCCTTGGAGGGGGTCAGACTAAGGGGGGAGGGGTGGGGGCTTGTTAAAGTCAGAAGTTAGGGTGGTGGGTGGGATGAGATGGGAGGTGGAAAGGGAGAGAGAAGGTTCTAGAAACAGGACTTTGTTGAATCCTCCTGCTGGGAAACAGTGGGAAGAAGAGTGAGCAGAGGATTTGGAAACTTGGGAGCCACAGGCCACGGGAGCGGGCGGGCACTGAGTGGCGGACACCGGCGCAGCTCAGGCGCCCAGTCACGGCCCCGCTCACCCTCCAGGGCGGCTGTGGCAGCTGCTGGACCTTCTCCACCACCGGGGCCCTGGAGTCGGCGATCGCCATCAAGACGGGGAAGATGCTCTCCTTGGTAAGCAGTTGGCCGCAAGGGTGGGGACACTTCCTGCAGGCCACGGCTGTGCCCTGAGGGCTGGCAGGGCAGCTGGCCAGGCCTCGGCGGAGAGGGAAGCACCACTGAGGAGGCCCAGGCGTGGGCTCACGGGTGTGTGTTCGTTCGCACCTGCAGTCGGAGCAGCAGCTGGTGGACTGCGCCCAGAACTTCAACAACCACGGCTGCCAAGGGTACGTCCGCGCTCGGGGGGGGGGGGGGGGGGTGCTGCTGATGGCTAGCGGGGGACCCAGGGTGCCTGCCTGGCGCTGCCACAGGCACAGCCTTGCTCACCGCCCCAGGGTTGGGGGGGCGCCAAAGCGTCCCTGTGTGTTGGCGGGAAGATCACCTCACAAGTCCCGGTGCCCTCGGGCGGGGCGGGGCTGTAACCCCAGCCGCGCCCTCTGCCCCGGGGACACGGCCCAGCCCTGGCAGCATCTCTGTGCTCCCCTCAGGGGCCTTCCCAGCCAGGCCTTCGAGTACATCCGCTACAACAAGGGCATCATGAGCGAGAACAGCTACCCCTACCAGGGCAAGGTAACCCCCTCCGCTCCCCGCCCACCCCCCTCCCCGCGCCGCCCGCCCCGCGTCAGACCACGCCCCTTCCCAGCGCCCTCAGCCGCAGGACCGCCCCTCCCAACCCTCAGAGACCCCTGCCCCTCCCGGGCCACGCCTCCACTGCCCCTCATCTGGCCTTCCTGCTCCTCCTCCCACCATGTGGCCCTTCCGGACCGTGACCACACAGACTCACGTGCAGGATGCGCCCCTGGGCCCATGCCCGTGGCGCCCAAGGCCTGCTGACCATGCCAGGGGCCCCCGCCATGACCATACCCCGGCCCGTCCTCGGCCGAGCCCAGGTATCTGCTAGAGGAGCACTGTCCTGCCACTACGAGAAAGATGTGTCTCATGCTCCCTGAAGGGACCCTGTCTCCAGGCCCTGGACATATAGCTCCTGCCTCATAAATGTCATCAGACTGCGTGGGGGAGGCCTGAGGCCTGAAACCTCAGCCGGTCACCCTCACCTACATGCCCCACCCTAACAGGACAGCAACTGCAAGTTCCGGCCGGAGAAGGCCATCGCTTTCGTCAAGGACGTGGCCAACATCACCCTCGTGAGTACTGGCCCCTTCCCGACACAGAGGCCCCCACCTGGGTGTAGAGTTCTCAAGGAACAGCAACATGAACAGACAGTGAAGGGAGGGAGGCCGCAGGGGGCCAGGGCCAGGTTTGGGAGGAGGGACTTGTAAGCCAAGAAGAAAACCCAGTCCAGGCTGGTGTAGCTCAGTGGATGCAGCGCCCGCCTACAAACCAAAGAGTCGCAGGTTCAATTCCCAGTCAGGGCACATGCCTGGGTTGCAGGCCAGGTCCCCAGTAGGAGGTGTGTGAGAGGCAACCACACATCGATGTTTCCCTCTCTTTCTCCCTCCCTTCCCCTTTCTTTAAAATAAATAAATAGACTCTTAAAAAAAAAAGAAAGAAAACCCAGAGGGTCCTGGCCATTTGGGTATAGGACAGTGGGGGACCCCAGTGACCAGTATCTGCTGTGAGGGGCCCCTTGGAGCTGTGTTTTTGTCTAAAACAAACAGCCTTCTCTTCCTTCCTTCCCCCTGGACATGCGCCGTGTGCTCTGGGCCTGTCCCCAGCCTGGGGTGCGAGTGGGGAGGGGACAGCGGTCACGTGTGTGGGTCTCTCAGTCCTCCTGTCCATCCACAGAACGACGAGGCGGCCATGGTGGAGGCAGTGGCTCTGTACAACCCTGTGAGCTTCGCCTTCGAGGTGACGAGCGACTTCATGCTGTACAAGAAGGGCATCTACTCCAGGTGAGACCTCCCCCGGCTCCGTCCCCAGCACCGCGCCCTGCAGGGTCCAGGCAGACGGGAGGAGGTCGGGCCCAGAGCCTGGGGGAAGAGCGGCCTGCAGTTAAGAAAACGCAGGTCCGAAAGCCGGAAGCTGTGAAACGGAGAAAAGCACGGCTGCTCGCAGGCAGAACCGTCAGCCGGAGGCTCCCCCCCCCCACTGCCTCCTGCAGGGGCCCCGCACCCCTGCCACGCTCTCCTCCTCCCCCTCTTCCCGCTGCTCCCAAAATGCCGGTGACCCCAGCTCTCTGCTCCACCGGCTGAGAGTCCAGTCAGCCTCCCGCACTGTCTGGTGTCTTAGCCCGGCGGGTCCCTCTTCCTTCAAGCTCGTCATCTTCCACCAGAACCACCCCACCCTCCCGACCCGCCCACCCACCCGGTCCCTGCTGGGCCAGACTGTGTCCTGGGGGCTCCCTCCGCCTCCCACCGCCCCAGCCCCGAGGGTACCAACAGCCGGCACGTCGGTGCAGGTCCCGCACCTGATACATGGGAGCCGAGTTAACACACAACCCTGCGGTCTGTTCTCTGGAGCCTCTCAGAATTTCCTCGTGGACACTTTGCTAGTGGAAAACCTGTTCGTTGCCCTAAACACGGGTAGTCTTAAAAATAAGGACCGGACGCAGCAGAGCCTCTGCACGTGCGCCCCCTGCTGGGCGGCACCTTCTCTCCGCTGTGTGCGCGCCGCTAAGAGCAAAGGGCTCCACATGCCCTTCCCGGGTCCTGCGAGAGGCGCTCAGAGCCGCTGGCTGCGGCTGGCTCTTCACGTCGGTCCCCCCCCCCCCCGACTGTCAAAGCTGTTTCATTTTTGTTTTCCAGTACTTCTTGTCATAAAACCCCAGATAAAGTCAACCACGCCGTGCTAGCTGTCGGGTACGGAGAAGAAAACGGGAAGCCCTACTGGATCGTGAAGAACTCCTGGGGCCCCAGCTGGGGAATAAACGGGTAAGCAGCGCCCAGGCCCCCTGTGCTGAGAGAGGGCAGGACGGCCCTGCAAACGAACGTGTAGCTTCCCCAAAATGAGCTGGTCGGTCAAGCCCTGGGGCGTTGAGAAACTCGCATGAGCACAAAACCCCCTTCTCCAGTCCTGGGCCTAGGGCCTGACAACCCAGTCAAACCAGGAGTCTGCCTGGCTCCACGGGCTCCAGACCTGTGACCCCTGCTGGGAACACAGGCTAAGCCGCCTCTGGGATGGTCCGTGGGAATTCCAGGCAGCCAGTCTTCTGCCCCCTGAGATGCTATAGCCACCCCTTTCTCCGGGGGACCCAGGGATGATTATATAACCACGGGAGGCCCTCAGGGAATTCTGGGGAGGAGTGAGAAGTGGGATCCCATTCAGGAAGTCAGGCCAGTGGTTCCCTGAAGATGACCAAGCCCAAGGCCCCCGCTTTATGAATGAGTTCAGGGGGCTCCTCCCTGGAGCCAGATCCTGGAGGGCGGCCAAGGCTGCGGGAGGGGCTGCCGCCCGCCAGGCCTCAGCCCACACTCTCTGCCCAGGTACTTCCTCATCGAGCGCGGGACGAACATGTGCGGGCTGGCCGCCTGCGCCTCCTACCCCATCCCGCAGGTGTGAGCTCAGAGGCAGCTGCGACCCACCCCCACCGGCGGGTACAGAGAGGAACAGCAAGTGGCCTGGGCCGGTGGTGGAGGGAAGCTGCGGGGAGCTGCCCAGGGCCCTCCCTCGCACCCTCACCACAGGAGCGAGGGTCCCAGCAGGCCCCAAGGCCACCCTGTCTGCTGACCAAATGTGCCTTAGGCCTCGTTTCTGACTGGCACTGACCAAGAATAATCTTTATCTCCTGGGGGGATTGCTCCTCATCTCTGAGAGCTCTGGGGACCGTCTTCTGTGTGGCCTTTACCCAATAAACTTCTAGGGAGCACTGCCCGGGCACTCCCAGGTCTGTGCTGTGTGTGTGCTGGGGACCAAAGGTCGGGCCTGCCTTCGGGGCTCCCCCGGGGCTCCCCTGGGGGCGGTGGCAAGGGGGTTGCCTGGGTGTCTGCTGGGAGGATGGTTGGTGTGGGTGCTGGTGTCACCTCTGCCAGGTCGGGGGGACCCAGGAGGACAAGTGGTTTTTCTACAGGACAATGGAGCCCGCGCCAGGGGCCTGGGCTCACATGTAGTCTCACACTGCCCCCTCCTTGCACACACAGCCCCAGCAGCAGGTCCAACCCCAGTCACTCCCAGACACTCCCACACTCGTGCGTCCCCACCGCCACCGTCCGCCCCTGTCTCTGGAGCAGGAACCACGTCTAGGGCTCAGCTGCCCCGTCTCCCACAAGGCTGTGCTTCTGAAGCCTTCACTTCAGCTCTCAAGTTTCTTCTTCCTCATCTTCAATTCCTCTTTTTCTAAGATTAGCCTGAATATTCTAGATGTTGCAATTCAAACAAGCAACACAAAGACACCTTTTACTTTCCCCAACCCAACTGTCCCCAAAGGGTGCAGGGCCGGCGTGGCCTGGCAGCCCCCCTGCCTGACAGTTGGGGCTTCTCAGCAAGAGCAGGGCCCTCCACTGTCCACCCCCGACACGGACGGCGGCCCCCCTCTGCAGGCCCCTGCAGCTGGGTCTGGAGGACCCACACTGAGCCTGCAGCAGCGCTGGGCTTGGACTGGGCGTGAGGAGGAAGAACCCTCGTGCTCCGGGCTGACTTTCTCCTCACACAGCACACACAGCTTTTGTTAACTAGAGTTCTCGGGCACAGGAGCACAAACGGTGTCTGCTTTTGTGTGGGACCTCACAGCCAAGGGCACCCATTGCACCAGGACCCACAAGGCCTCAGGGCCACCCCTGCAGACCCAGGGCCAGGAGACAGGCGGGAAAGGGCACCTGGCTCCTGCCCAGACCCGACGGGTGTGTTCAGAGAGGGCCAGAGCCAGTGCAAGCCAGGACCTTCTGGCCATTTTTAAACAAACCGAGTCACCTTGTGCCATTTGCAAGCTGGGGAGAGACAACTTTCCTCCCCAAAACAGCCCGAGGGGGTGGGCCACTTGGCAGCAGCTGCCCACCAGGCCTGCTGGAGCTCGGGCCCTGGGAGAGGGAACAGGTTGGGGCCAAGATTTGGGGACAGAGCTCCCATGGGGAGAGAAATGGCAACTTGCGTGGAGAGGAAAGCAGGGGGCCGGGCGCGAAGGCCATCCCAGTCTCAGGAAGCGAGGGGCCCCGCGGACCGGTGAGGAGGGCAGGCCCGCTGCACAAGCTACCAAGGCGCTGGCACCGGGCGGTGCAGCGTCCTGTGTGTGCCGTTTTTCCACGACTACACAATTGAAATCTGAACAAATCAGCTGCCATCAACTTACCGTTTATAAAGGCTGGATACTATTCCACAACAGGAATGTGCTCTGGCTGGGCTGGTCCCTGAAGGGCAAGAGGAAGCCGCCCAGGGCCCCCGCAAAGGGGAAGATCCCGTTCCCCACTCAGCCTCCCTCTAGTGCCCCCTACTGGCAGGGCCTCACAAGCAGCCCAGAAAGGAGACAGAACTGGGAGTCCCAATCCCAGCATCTGAAAGCTGGGTCCAGAGCCAAAGCCCACCTCGCCCGCCCAAGGGTGCTCGGCATCCACACCCCACTGCCGCCACCACAGCCAGCACTGCAGCTTCACCTCCAGGACACCTGTCCTTCACACCGAGGACCGCACGCACGCTCGCTCGCCCCCAGACGGGAGAGGCGGGGAGCCCCACGGCCACACCCCCACCACAGGTGCCCTGAGAAAAAGCACCTCGTGGTTCCTCACAGGCTTCAGCTGGGGTTTGAAAACTTCCTCCTGGCCTGATTCCTTTGCTCCCTGCCAGCATCTCAGCTGGGTTTTGGTTTTGTTTTGTATTTTTAGTCTCGGCCCCCAGTGGTCTTATCTGCCCTTTCATTTTTATACTTTCCTATTAAGGGTTTCCTAGGGGCGTGTAAGCAGGGAGAGAGCTTCAGACGGGGTCCCCCCGCCCCACGCCCTCCAGTCACGGGCCCCACAGCACGGCGGCTCCCCTCCCCCAGCGCTCCAGTGGGCGCCCAGTCCCGGGGGACCACCGTGTCCCCGCAGAGGGCATGTCTCCTTGGGAACCCAAAGGCACAGGAATTGCGGTGGCAGACGCCACGCCGGCCTGGACACTGGAAGGGCTGCCCGTGTGCATCCTGGGGTCACCAGCGCACAGGGGCCTTCCGGGGAAAGCACACCCCGAATGCCCTCGGGTGCAGACTCGCTCCGCCCTCCTGAGCTCGCTCCCCACTGGCAGCCCGCCCGCATCCGCAGGGGCTCATCCCACGCGCCTCGGGCGGGCGGCAGGTCGGGAGCGACGTCCGTACAGGACACCCTGACGGCAAGTACACGTTTCTGAGCCTACGGGTGACAATGTTGGCAAAGGGACTGCAGGGAGGGCGAGTCCATATGGAGATTTAGACACGGATCTATCCCCGTCAGGACAGGCTGGGCGCCTTCCGTGATGGCAGGAATCCAAGGTAATCAGCCTGTCCCCAGGTGACTGGATGGTGACCCTGGAACACGGCGCCTCATCCGGGGTGGCAGGGGGAGCAATGGGTACAGGCAAGTAGCTGGGTGTTCAGGTTACTGAGTGTTGCCTGACCAACCACACCAAACATCGGTCCCTGGCAACAGAGGCACTCACTTTGCTCACACCTGGGAGGTGGACATGAGGACTTGGAGGGGGCAGCTGGCCTGTCCCACCCAGCATCAGCTGGGAAGAGGAAGCGGGGGTTACTCACACCCCAAGGCTGGCTCACACCGGCAGCGAGGAGACCTCAGCGGGCTGGGACCAGTGTTGTCTTCCCGGGGTGACACGGGGGGGCCTGTCCATCAAAGGTGCGCTGTGGTGGGCTCTCAGACACGGAGCTCTTCACTCCGGCTCCATCCAGGGAAGCCCGCCTGCTGAACTCTCACCCACAAACGCTTGTGCCAAACTGCCACACTGTGCCAAGAGCTGGCAACTTTTGGCAGATTTGGGACACCAAGTACTGCATCCACTCAAAGACTAAACAATTTCTACGTAGTAAGGGGAAAAAAAAATCCCTAGGGCTTCACATCCCCACAGCGGCTCACCTTTGAGAAACCTAAGGACCCACCCACGTGTTTAGCTGCGGTGCAGGCTCCGAGAGTGTCCACGATGACCTGGAACAGCTGTTCCAAGACTCCTCAACCAGAACAGCGCCCTGCGGCAGTGCGCCCAGGAGGGTGAGTTAGTGGCTTACTACTTGCAAAATGTAGAACAAGGAATGCCCTCACACTCAACTTCTTTTGGGAAATTCTTAGTGATAAATATGCTACTTATGTAGCATGTGTTTCTCGTGAATTTTTAAATCTTTCTCAACTTTTAATATGGTAGGTGTCGACGTGTGTGTGTGTGTGTGTGTGTGTGTGTGTGTAAAACATCCACATGAATCAAAGCTCTTCCGAGTCCCCAGTGGGAGCCCCTGCTTCAGGCAGCCCCCTGGGTCCCTCGGTCGATGCAGCAGCACAAACACTCAAACGGTCCGAGACGCCTCAAAACCTCAGGAGGTGCCCCACCGTCCAGGCCCCGTCTCGGGCGCCTCAGCAAGCAGCACAAGCCACGCAGCCGGCTCTGACCTCGATGGGACATTCCCACTCGTCCCAGACCACTGCCCGCCCAGAGAACGCCCCCTGGTGGCAGCGATCCCTGAATTCTCACGGTTCCCCTCCCATCCCCGGCTCACAAGGGACCCCACCCAGGCACAGCAAAGTAGCTCTACGGCCCTGGGTGACGCACTAGTGCGTTCAGCCAACTACCTTTTGAGGCGGAAACACAGCAGAGTAACTGAGACAACCTCTCCTTTATGTTTCAGAGGTTAACCAGTTTGACAATCTTTGAATTGAAGCATTTAGCCATTTACATTTAATTATTAATATATTTAGGTTTGAATACACCATCTTCCTATTTGTTCTACCTTTTGGGTTTTTTTTTTCTTTTGTTCATGCATTCTCCTTAGGTTGGCAGTAAAACTCGCTGTTCTTTTAGTGGCTACCCCTGAGTTTTTCTGCATGCTTTACTATTACCATCTTTCCAAAGGAAAAAAACTTCATGTCATGTTCATTCTCTATCTGTGAACTCAAGACAGTCCTACATACTCTTACACAGCAACACCAATGTAGCCTCCCAGGCGTTTGTCTAGTTTTCTCTGAGCTGCACTTCGTCTTCACCCCCCAGGCCTTCAGTTCTCAGTGGTCTACTGGGGTCTCTCCCCAGGGGGCGTGGCTTGTGAACTTGGGCCTATTTTTCCAGCTTAGCTGAAAAGTTCTACTTCCTAAAGGATGTTTGCTGGGTTGAGAATTTGGAGGCTTCCTGAACCCGGAGACTCGACGTCCCTTCCCCCGTCCCTACACCTGTCCCACAGAGATGCCAGTGTCCGCCACTGCCCCTCCCTCGGCCCCTGTGCCTGCCACCTCGGAGGTCACCACGCCGTTTCTCCCGGCATCTTCTATGTCCTTCCCCACACGCTGCTTTTCCATCTCTCCACCTCTGCCCCTTGACACACACATTTCTTCCCGGCCCACCTTACGATGCACTTCTCTCTGCCTGTGTCTAATCTGGTAAATTTACTAAATTCCTATTTTAGCTATATCACATTTCGGTTGTATAACACCCCTTGGTTCTTTTTCAGTTTTAAGTTACCTGCTCACATTCCGCACTGCGACCCCTCTCTGGACACCACCGTCACTTGAAAGCGTCCTGCAGCTCTGATGTCTGCATGGCTGTCACTGAGGAACGACTCGTGCTCACTCGTCCTCCTGGGCCTGTTTCTGAAAGACACGCTTTACTCTGTCCTGTCTTACCCGCCTGCCTGGTTAAGTGCCGACCACCACATGAAATAGTTTGAAACAGTAACTGCATCTCACTCACCCAGATCCCTAAGCTCTAGCCTAGTGGGGACCCCACTCCTTGCCAGGCCCCCGGCCCCATGTCCTGTAGCCCCTGTGAGGCTGTCAAAAGCACCCGAATGCCAGGCACATGCTGACCTTGACAAACACCTGCAAGACAGCACAAACCCCAGGCTTTGGTCCCAAGACTGTGTCCCCTCAGAGCCCGGCCTCCCACACCTTCAGGTGCACCTGTGCCCGGCTGCTGCCCTGCTGAGGGCCCTCCGTGGGGGGCTAGTCTGAATGACCACGGGCGCCGGCAGTGCACACTGCCGCCCCGGAGCCATCTCTCTCGTTCCTTTACGATTTTTTTTCTCTTTAATTAAAGATCCTTTAGCCCTGGCTGGTGTGGCTCAGTGGATTGAGCACGGGCCTGCGAACCAAAAGATCCCGGTTTGATTCCCAGTCAGGGCACATGCCTGGGTTGCAGGCCAGTTCCCAGCAGGGGACACACGAGAGGCAACCACACACTGACGCTTCTCTCCCTCTCTCCTTCCTTTCCCCTCCTAAGATGAAGAAATAAAATCTCAAAAAGATACTTATACGCAATACCCCTATGTTATCTAGATTTATGGTAGACAGACTTTGGAGGTTTTAAACCTTTTATTTTTAATCTCTTCTTTTTGTAAAAGCTGATCTACATATTTCTAAGATATGTTTTATGTTCCATGTCTAGGCAACTCTGTAGTGGGGGCAGTTTCCGATTAAACTTTTGCAACTACTACACTGCTACGAAACAGGTCTCCGGGCCTTTAAAATAGCCGTGTACGAAAGCCCTGAAACGCGTTGTCTTTAACACAGTGCACTAGTGTTATCCACTTGAGGTTTTCAACTAGAAAGCCTAGAGGCAAACAAAGAAAAATAAAAATCAACCCCCCCCACACGGTACCGCAAGGACAGGGGAAGCTGTGTTACCAAGGAGTTTGGCCCTAACCTAACCCAACTTCACACCCACAATTCACAGGCTACCAAAGAGAACACCAGTCGTTTCAAGGAGGGAAGCAGCATGACTGCTGTGAATAAACGTTGATAGAAGAATGAACGGATGGGGAGGGTAGGAAAACGTACTGTTAAGACTAGAACACTATTAAAATAATCACTCCATGATAAACACGAGATAGAGAAAAGAGAAACACGTAAGAGTAAGACTCAGTGGCGGAGAAGGGACGGGTGTCCATGGGGCCAGGGAGTGGGAGGTACTGGGTCAGAGGGGAGGTGTGACTTCCTGTCTCTAACGCGCATCTGCAAAAACGGGGCAGCCGCTATCGTGAATGCCCATGAGACCCGCTAAAGCCAAAACGAGGACAGAAGGGGATAAACAAGAGCAAAGTGTCTCCATTTTGAGATGATTTCCAAATCTTGGAAATAACACAACGGACTGAACAGGACAAAAATGTTTTCCAGTGCCTAAGTGAACAAGGAAGCACTTTCACAGGCCCTCCCCCAGGCAGGGGGGCCAGGATTTGGTAGCTGGTGCTGGAAGGAAAACTCTTGGGCCCATCCTCGCCCTGGGACCGTGCCAGTGGCACTGTCAGTCAATGGCACAGGGAGGAAAAAAAAAAGTGAAAAAGGTCCCAGGACACTGACACCCACCGGTGTGGCTGGATGCGCCCGCGGCCAGTGCTGGCCTCACCCCTCGCCCCTCGTACGCCACGAGCGCCCACAGCCCCGTCCACGGGACCAGGAGAGGCCCCGAGGCAGAGCTACAGCAACAGAGCACGCCCCTTCACCGCCAAATCGAAAAGTTAACTGTAAGAAAACTGCATTAGGAACATAAATATAGAATCGTTATGCTGTACACCTGGAACTGTCAACTAGGCCAGCGGGACAAACGCAGGCTCACAGTGGTCAGTACGTGAAACAGTTTGTTTCTGCACTGTTACTTATTAACCACTATGTAATTTTCCCGACGAACAACTGTAAACCCATCTTGGCCAACCCTGTGTGTCCACGCACCAATAAAGCAGTGCCCCACTGGGAAACAGCCCTGACCCTTCCGATGACACACCTGGAGTGACAAGGAGCAGCAAGCAATCTGCACGCAGCCTCGCCATCAGCGAGGCCCCTCCCGGTCCTTCGACTCCACGCCTGTATCTTGAACGATCAGTTCAAGGGATGAAACAAGACTACAGCTTCTACACCACAGGTGGTGAACACAAGGCCCACGGCTGAATCCAGCCTGGCTCCTTGTTTCTGCCTGGCAGCCAGGCCGAGCTCTCACTTAACTGTTAGGGAGCAGCTACATTACAGTCCTAAAACTACATCTGGCCCATGGGGGGGAAACCTTGAGGCTGATGTGGCCCCCGCTGGAGATGACTCTGACACCCCTGGTCGAGGTCACAGCACGTGAGGCAGCCGAGGCAGAAAGTCTCAAACACGGCTGGGACTCACACACGCTGGCTGGTTTCACACATGCTGGAAGTGCAAACATTTAGAAATAAAAATCTGTTTTTAAAAAGTTAACACAAAGTAGTTCAAAAACTTTTTTTTAAATAAAGATTTTATTTATTTATCTTTAGAGAGGAAGGGAAGGAGAGAAACATCAATGTGTGGCTGCCTCTCATGAGTCCCCTGCCGGGAACTGGCCTGCAACCCAGGCATGTGCCCTGACTGGGAACTGAACCACGATCATGTGGCTCACAGGCCCACGCTCAATCCACTGAGCTATGCCAGCCAGGGCTCAAAAACTTTTAAAAATGAATATATGGTGTCCTGGCTGGTGTAGCTCAGTGGATTTGAGCACTGGTCTGCAAATCTAAGGGTCACCAGTTCGATCCCCAGTCAGGGCACATGCCTGGGTGGAGTGCTGGGTCCCCAGTAGATAGTACTCGAGAGGCAACCACACACTGCTATTTCTCTTCCTCTCCCTCCCTTCCCCTCTAAAAATAAACACTTTAAAAAATAAAAACAAAATACTAAAAAATACCGTACAAATTTAAAAGTCCATGGAAGATACTGCCTTTGTTAGCATCAGGGAGCAAACCAACCACTATTCTATTTTTTTGCTGTATTTGAATAGGGAGGGGGTCTTAATGAATAATTAAAATGCAGAATTTCAGGCATTTTGAATGTCAATAAACACCCTAAGCAAACAGTTATTGACAGAAAGCTGTCACACAGGTAAAAATTCCCTTAATTCTCAAAGTTAGCAAGTTTCAGAGTCACGTGAACCCAACTTTTTGGCCAGAACGCCAACAGAACGTGAGAGCAAACCGCCAGAGCCGCGGTGGGTCAGAGGTAGGTCCCCAGCCGGAGCTTCTGGTTCCAGAAAGCAGGACTGAACGCCTCCCTGAGGGGCCGGACTCACACAGGGAGGGCACCCCCCACACAACGCACCCACACAAGCACAGTGTTCTTTGAAATTTAAAGAAAAAATTTATTGAAGATCTGAAAAACAATTCCTAAAAGATTCGCTTTTCCAGAAAACTGTAGCTACACAAGGCATTGCGTCTATCATGTTAAAACGTGCATTAGACACAAATACAAAACCATGAACAAGCCACCACTCCTCCAGTCTGAGCGGAGATAAAATGCCTAAGGAACAACGTGGGTGACTTGCGAAGGACAAGCTCTTTACTGTAAGCACCAATAAAAAATAAAAGGAGCACAAATGGGTGAGTGTGATCGGTTATATACACTGAATCGAACCTTTGGCACTAGACCGGAGCGTCTGTCGTAGAGCATCAACACGTATTACAAAAGTGCGCAGTGTCAAAGGAAGAGGACCACCAGCATTCAAAGCAGCTTTGTCAACTAGGCAATAGAACACTCTACAGTATGTCTCTCCGCTGTCCATCAATACACTGGTAGCAACTTTAAAATGATAAAAAAAGGAAAGAAAAAAGGAGCTGTAACCCCTTTTATTTTCTCTGTTTAAGATCAAACAGGAAACAAACATCCAGTCAGTTACACACTAACATTTCCCAAGTACGGCGTGTGTACAAGAGGACTAAGAACAGGGACGTGTCACGGAGACCAGGCCGGGGCAGGCGGGCGCCTCACACAGCTTTCCGGTGGTACTCAGGAGGCGCCACTTCGTAATCGCTGGCGCTGAACAGAGTTGCAGAATTCTTTGCCAGGTACCTGAAAATGAAATGCTATTCGTTACAAAGAAAAACAAACATGTATTGATCCAGATCTCTTCTCACTCACTATGTGCACGAGCCATACAAAACACCTCCTGACACACGCTGTGCTGAAACAATCACATCTCAGGGGGCGGGTCACACCCCAGGTCACATGCGTAAGGGGGTCAAGCGCACAATGACTCCTCTCACTTCATACCAGGAGTGACAGTCACGTTCAGAACACCAACCTGAGAGCTTCAACTGTCCTCTTTTAGGAAACAGGTGGCACTGGTGTTTTCTTTCAGTCTTTAAAACTCAATTACGTTAAATATACTCAGAAACTACTAAATATATTCCAAAATTGACAAACTGGAAGAGGACACCATAAAAATCAAAGCAACCAGAAATGTCCAAGAGTAGGGCCACTTCATGTCGTAAAGAAATTGAGGTAAATTTGTCACCGGTAAAGAATAAAACCTGTGTAGATTCCCAGGCTCATGCTGCAATTTCAAATGTTATAAAATATAGGGTTATTTTAAGAAACCTCAATTATAGAAATCTGTAAAGCAGAAATGGGAAACTCTGCCCTTTCCTCCCAGGACTATGCCCGAGAACTGACCCCTGTTAAGTATGAGCCCCACTTCTCATCTTTCCCAAACACTGAAAACACTTCTCTGCATGTGAGTTTATTGACACACACTCTCCATCACTACCTGCCTGGAAATCTCTGCATTTCAGCAGGATGAATCTCCAGAAGCCCAACGCTCCAGTGGAACTGTAAGGGCACTGACAAAATCCTCCCGCAAACCCTGTGGGAGATGGTAGAGCCCCTCCCCGCTGGCCAGCCCGATAGGAGGCACTCTGTCGCGATGCTGACCATTTCTGTGTTGCCACGCCACCGGATCCCCAGTGCCCTACCCGTCACCGCTTTGCTCACACCCTCCTTACTGCAAGACCTCTTCTTTGGGTATCAAAGGTACTGGGTTCTTTATTGTACACGTACCATTCAGTCCATCATCACATGGAATTTTAAGTATCTGTAGCCAAGTTGTAGCCAGGTGGCTCAGTTGGCTGGAGCATTGTCTCATGCTCCAAAATGCTGCAGGTTTGATACCCAGCCAGAACATAATACAAGACTCAACCAATGAATTCATAAGGAAGTAGAACAAACCTCTCTCCCCCAAATCAATAAATAGTTAAAAAATATATTTACAGTCGAATTTACCAATCATTTTCTTTATGTGAGTTTAATTTTAAAAAAGGCTGTTCTCACTACAAAAACCGTAAAAATATTCCTCTCCATTTCCCTTCATGATCTTAACAGCTTTTAGTTTTAAACTCGATTCCTCTACAATTTTGGTGCACGGCACAAGTGTGCATCCAGCTGTTTCCTTCTGAAGACGAGCCAACGTTCCACTTCCCAGGGCCTGCATCGCTCTCCATTGCCAATAAGCCAACGCGCGTGAGGCACTGCACTTGCTCCACTAACACACCTACTCCTGCACCAACACCAGGACTGACTTCAGTTTTATGTTTAATACCTAGTGCCAATCTATCAGAGTAATTTTTAGCATACTGTATTAATGAATGTTTTTGATTTCAAGCATACCCTCCGACTTACTTGAGGAAATCATGAAGATAATTCAGTAATAAAGCAAGGCTCTTCTCATCCAGAGGTGTGTAGGCCAGCATTGCTCCAATCCGCACTGGACAGACAAGACAGAGCAGACTACATCACACCCAAGGCGGCTCTAGAGACATACCTACTTATACTATGTGAGCAGATGCCACGGTCACCAAGTCCTTCCAACTGCATGACTTTAGAATCTGGACTTTTATCTCTGGCTGGTGTGGCTCAGTGGATTGAGCACCAGCCTGCAAACAGAAACTCTGCTGGTTCAACTCCCAGTCTGGACACGTGCCTAGACTGCAGGCCAGGTCCCCAGCTGGGGGCACACAAGAGGCAAGCAATTGATGTACCTCTCACACATCCATGTTTCTCTCCTCTCTCTCCCTCCCTTTCCCTCTAAAACTAAATAAAGTCTTTAAAAAAACCCCCACAAAACTGGACTTTTAAAAAAACTTTAATATTTATCAGTTTTAGATTAAAATTCAAATTGGAACCTTTTAGAATGTAATTTTATGTGACCCCATGATATCAGTGAGGGAAGATAAAAATATTAAAGGCCCCAAGGAAAAAAGTAAAGTAGTGTTTTCTAAATGACATGTGTTACCGAACAATCGCAGTAGATGCGGCGCCCCGTACACCTGGGACATGGGCGCGTCCGGGTGGTCCGCAAGGATCTCGGCGTACTGCGGCCGCTCGAACTTGTAGAGCAGCTGAGTGCCCAGCATCACATTGAAGTACTCCTTTATCCCGGCCACCACCTCGTTGACGGCGTACTCCCTGGGGCAGGAGCAGAAACAGTTTACTTCCAAAAAAGGTCACCGAAAAGAGTGCAGAGATGCGGATTAATTCAAC